TTTCCCCAACTCATAACTCCCCATCCGTTAGCCTTGCTGCTCCCAGTACTGATGACATATGCTTGAAGGCAGTTCCTCCCAGAAAGGCAATATTTGTGTCTAGACTGGCACCAGATACATCTGTTCAAAAAAAAAAAGGTTATTTGGCAGCGAAAGCCCCTTCTGTTAATTTAAAGCGAGTTAGTATTTTCAAACTGGGTCCTTGTCAATCTAGAGCTATCTCATCTTTTAAAATTCTAGTTCCGACCGAAAATATGGATTTGATTTTAAATAAACCTTTGTGGCCGATTGGATCCTTAATTAAGGAATTTATCCCTCGGGACCGACCCCGTAATGCGAATGCAGTAGCTCTTTCCCCTTCAAAAAACTAAATATTTCTTCAGCCTCATTTTCTCTCATTTATCAAAATGTAAGGGGCCTAAATTCAAAAATTCGTTCTACCTTCCTAAATTCAGTGAGCACGGAGTTTTCCTGTCTGGTCTTCACTGAAACATGGTTGAAGCCGGATCTACATTCGTCGGAACTTTTCCATAATTCGTTTCAAGTTTTCAGAAACGATCGTTTGTATCGCAATGGTGGTGGTGGTTTAATTGCTATTTCTACGGCACTCCCCACCTATTCGTTGGAATTTCCAACTACTCCCGATGTTGAATTTATCGCCATTCGAGTGAAATTTCCTAAGAAACACTTATATGTGAACTGCTCCTATATTCCCCCAAATTCGGATATCTCAGTATATAAGAAACAGGCCGCCCTCATTTGTGAAGTGGCCAAGCAATCTAAACCTACCGATATAGTCCTTGTGTTGGGTGACTTCAATTTGCCTCAAGTCAATTGGTTTTACAGTGATAGTTCTGGCTGTTTGATCCCTTCCTCAACATCTGATAAAGCCGTTGTGTTCTTCAATGAATTATTTGATAATAATTTAGTTCAACACAATGGTACCCCTAATTGTAATGGGAGATTTCTTGATCTCTTCTTTGCAAATTTTCCTGAGGTTTGGGTTAATCGTTGTCTTCCGTTTAGTTTACCTGAGGATCCATATCATCCAGCACTGGGTGTTTCCTTTCATTACAAGTATGTTGGTCCGTTGAACTTCTTTAACGTTCAAAATTCAAATTTTTCATATCAACTTTATGATTTCCATAAAATCAATGTTTCCATACTAAAATCACATCTTTGCATTGATAGCTTACTGTCATCGTTCTACAATATATTAAATCAAGCTATTTCTGCATCCGTTCCGATCAAGCAGTCCCGTCCTCGAAGCAAGGGTCCCCCGTGGTTTAATAAAACAATTAAATACTACAAGAATAGGAAAAACAAGCTTTTCAATAAATTTTCGAAAAGTGGTTCTGCTCTCGACTATTTCGCTTACTCTGTTGCAAGGCATAAATTTAGTTCCCTCAACCGCCAATACTATTGCTGATAAACATCTATTTATAACCTGCTCCTATATTCCCCCAAATTCTGACATCTCCATTTACAAGAAACACGCTGCCCTCATTTGTGAAGTGGCCAAGCGGTGTAGACTTAACGATTTGGTCGTTGCATTGGGTGACTTCAACTTGCCTCAAGTCACTTGGTGCAACAATGATAATTCTGGCTGTTCGATTTCTACTTGAACGTCTGATAGGGCTGTTGTGTTCTGCAATGAATTGTTTGATCATAATTTAGCTCAATATAATCGTACCCCTAATTGTAATGGTAGACTGCTTGATCTCCGTTTTGCCAACTTTCCTGAGATTAACGTAAATCGTTGCCCACCTTTTAGTTTACCTGAGGACGCTTATCATCCATCAATGTGCATTTCCTTTCAACATATTAATGATGGTTCGTTGAACTTTCTTAATGTGCCAAATCAAACTTTTTTAAATAAACGTTATGATTTGCATGAAATCAATATTGTATTGCTAAAACATCGTCTTTCACATATGAGGCTTTATTTCTCAACCGGAAGTATTAAAAGCTTATTGTCATCGTTTTACAATACATTAAATCTAGCTATTATTGCTGCGATCAAGCAGTGCCGACCTCGAAGCAGGTGTTCCCCGTGGTTTAATAACACAAGTAGATATTACAAGAATAGAAAAAACACGCTATTCAAAAAATATTCAAAAAGTGGCTCTGCGCTCGACTGTTCTGTTTACACGGTGGCGAGGCATAGATTTAACTCCCTTAGCCGCCATTATTACTGCAAATGCCTTCAGTTTGTTAAATCCTCCTTGTTTGCTAACCCTAAATACTTTTTCAAGTTCGTTAATTCCAAGAGAAAAATCTCCATAAATCCGCGGATGATTTTGAAACCTCAAATCTCTTTGCGGAATACTTCCGACAGAACTTTTCAACGGCCAATTTTGATTTATCGGTAAATTATCCATATCCGATTTCTAATTCGATTTCAATTCCTAACTTTGTTATATCTGAACTGACTTAACCTTAAATATGTCATTATGAGTCGAAAATTAATTTGTTGTTAACAATTATCGGTTGCCAAGCTTATGCATGTTTGCGATGGCTTAGGGGTTCACTTGCAATTTGGTCCTGTATCGGTTTGGGTGTGGCTCTATGCTAATTGTGTACATGCTTTTTTTTTTTTTTTTTTTCTTTCTTTTTTTTCCTCCTTATTTGTTTTATTGTACTTATACTAAGTTTTATTATTAATTAATTTTAAGATTTACTTAAGAGTCAATTGAACTCGACTGCGATTTTGTTTTAGTTGAGTTTCTTGTATAAGTGGAATAAATAAATAAATAAATAAAGTCTAAAGTCTTAAAGCACTAGCATTTAGCTTTCGGCTTTATTAAAAACTCTACCGCATTTGAGATTTGAACACATGACCAGTGAAGTTGCTAGTCGAGAGTCTTGCCTACTCGGCCGCTCAGGCGGATAACTTTTAAACTTAATATCTTACTTTGATTCGAAAATTAATTGGTGTTGTTTACTGTATTGGTTTCAAAGCTTTTGCATGTTAGCAATGGCCTAATGATTCACTGGCAATTTGGTTCTTTAGTGGTAGTGTGTGTTCCTCTGTGCTAATTGTGTACATGCTTTTTTTCTGTCTTATTTATTTATACATATTGAATTTTTTTTTTTATTTCTTTATACTAGTTTAAACAAAAAAAGAAAAGATGAACAATATTCAAGCAGATCAAAAATAATCTGAAGCTCGCATCGGTATGAATAAGAAGTAAAATATGTTTGTCAGTCTACGTGAATATTTTGTATAAATACGATTACCATTAGACAAGTAATACAGTTACTATAGGTTGTGGGTGCCCAAGATGACCCCCGAAATCGAATACAGTTTCTTTTCGATTAGATATAGTTGCCATTTTGAGAAGCTTGCATTTAGTATCAGTGGTTCCATTTTCCCACATAAGCATTTATGGTTTCGCACTATTTACAATAAAAAGTTAAAACTTTTTCACAGTACCACCATGAATTATTCAATGTGAATTATTCAATGTGAAGCAGTGACAGTGCAAGAGTTTATAATAAGATAATGAATTTGTGTTAATAAATGATCTGATTGTTCAGATCAAGAACTTTTATTGAATTTTAGTTGTTGCTGCTACTTTTAAACGCTTATTATATACAAAAGTTCAAATTTTGTTTGCGTAAATTGTGACTGTCATAACTAGGTTTCCATTGGAATTGATTTCCGGTATAGTTAAGAAAAGCGTTAGGCGGAAAATAAATATGATAATGTTGTAAAGTATTGCTGCTATTAAAATCGATCATCCGGGTAATACTTCAGTTGTAGCCAAATATTTAGTTTTATAATTTGTCTCTAGAGCTAACTTAATATAATTTCATACTTCAATATGTGCCACCTAACCTTAAATACGTGCCATAATGGCCTTAAAAATATTACGTATGCTTGCAATAGGAGTTACAAATACTATCGTTGGTGTAGTTGAAGCTGGTTTTTGAGCTTCCACCGATTTTATCAAACTTAAATTTATGGACGAACTTCGATATATGCTTACACTAAAACCTTTTGCTTGAACATATCTTTGTTTTCTAAAATCATTTCTTTACATACGTACCCTTCGAGTCTTTCTCTCTGTCAATAAATACTTTCGCCTAGGATAGTTTTTTAACTAACTGAAGCAATTATGTAGCATCGTTAAGAATAATTAGATGGATATTTGTTTGCATATATAGACGGAACTACATAATTAGTGGATTATTTCAGATTGTTTCTCTAAACCATTGCGTTTATTATTTTATTTTCAAAGTGTCTGTACAAGTTTAAATTACTTTAAAAAATACAGATTATGTTGGGTCCGGCTGTTTTAACGTAAAATGTATGCATATGTACATATGGACTGATACATCGTTACTTATACAGGTGAATGTTGTCACCCATTTGGAAAAATTTTGCACATATTTTTTTCTTATTTGGTTACTAAAAGGGTGAAAGATTTATTCGAAATAAATTTTTCTTGTACATTTGTAAATATTTTTCCATCATCACCAATTTCTGCACTTACATGTATAATGCATATGCATCCGTTTTATGAGCACATACTGTAGAAATGAGTATGAAGATACCAATCTCACGCTCAGGCAAGCGTAAATTTATTAAGCATTAAGTTGTAATTTGTTACAATTTACGATTTAATTTTATGAAAATTCTTTATCTACACCATACCACTAGTTCCACATAAAGTCTGCAACTTAAAATTCATAGGAAGAATATTTTGAATAAAAATAACTTATTCAATTTTTTTTAAAGTTTACTTTGAATATTCTGCTCCCGATTAATTTTAATTAGGCTGGTACTCTCTTCGCATCAAAATTAGCATTCAACTGTTTCTTGTTTTCGCAGTAACAACGCTGAAGCTGCTAAATGTCACTTTCTTTTTCATTTATTATTATTATTATTATTATTTTAATTTTAGACTAATGAATTGAATTCTTAGACTAAAAAAAAGACATTAAAATTCAAAGTACGATATAGATTTCAAAACTTGTGCGGAAGAACAAAGCTGTATTCAAAACTTAACAACTTCTTTACAGGGCTTCCTCCACAACTACAATAAATACTCGCTTCTGCAAGTTAAGGCGTTGAAACTTTGAGTTCATATATATCGCATTTTACTAGCTTTTTGTTCTTTTCGGGGTAGCAATCATCGCTTTATCTTACTCAACTATCACAAATTCACGTGGCGTATGCAACATGTTTCTAACATCTACGTTTAAAATTAAATTCGATGAAAAGGCCAACCTCTAGGGCTGATTTTCTAGTATCTATGCTTCTGCTGCGGAGAATTGTGGAAAAGTTTGTATCTAATTTATATCCGCAATTTTGTGGCTATATTTCAGAGATTAATGGTAATTATCAGGGTTTATGCCCCGCACCGCTTGCGGTAACACACGGAACGGATCAGAAGACACAAACTATCCATTGTACCGGTCGATTCTGGATCATTATCTGGATAACTTTATGCATGTTTGTTCGTCTGTCTGTCTGGTAGCTGTGTTCGTATTCTCGTGCTCAACGTACAAGCTGCAATTTTTTTTGTGGTTTTAATTTAGGACATAGGGGTGTTCATATCGAAGCACAAATGCTGTTGAAACTGGGTTGGACAGAACCACTCCCCATATTTGCCTCAGAAAAACAGTTTAATAGCAGCATTTCGCTGTTGTAAATTAATGTCTTCCCCTGCGCTCTTAAGAAGACTGGGTCCACGGGTAAAATAATCTTATCTTTAATATTTCATGACGAAAATTGATCTATAATAGTTATTGTATATAAAAACAAACTGAATCAAATTTTAAACCTTTGAACCACCCCATAGAAGGATTTTTGTGAACAGTAAGCCCGTTGGGAAAAATTTGTAAAATTTGATGAAAGCTGGTACATAGTAGCAATTTGGCATAAAAATTAACCGTAGGATTTTTGGATCGCATAAGTCTAGTCTTTAGACCCCTTGCCTTGGCAACGCTACGTGTTGTTAGGTGTCATTTCAAGCTTCCACTAGAAAATTTAACATTTTTCACCATAACCTTTCTAAGAAGATTTTGTGATTTAAATGCAATTTGTGTCATTTGGTGTGACTTGAAAGTTTTGCTTAAGCGAAAAATTGGAATTAGCTCGTGATTATTTTCGTTTGATGATTTTTTACTATTTTTGAAGTATACTACCAATATAAGGGTGCACCGATCAATTTACTTTCACATTCGGCATTGAAGAACCATTCTTTGCATTAAGAAAATCTGATATAACGAGTTAAATTCTGACCGCCGTTCGCTTACCTACAATAATCGCCCAAGCAAATGCTTAAAAAATTATGTGGCTGTGTTGAGAAAGCGCATTGCATGTGACGAATTATGTATCTATGCGAATGAGCCGATCAACTCTACGTTTTATGTTTCAAGGTTAATCAAATTCAACCAAAATTTTTCCGCTGGAAGTAATTTGAAATAAATAATGGTTTGGTGAAATAATGAAAACGCCGTCGGATTGTCGTTCTTCCAGATATTGCAACATCTTAAACATTTTTTCGAACAACCGACTCTTTAAAAAAACATTGGTCGAATTTGTAAGTCATCCATATTTAGTGTCTAACGGTTTCTTTGTCGTTGATGCGCTTAAAACCAGTGGTTTTGCAGCGTCGTAAGCGAAGTGGAAAAAATGCTACGACAAATGCTTTCAATGAATGCATTGCTTATAAATTATAATGGAGAATTTTTTGAAAAACAATAGAACAATTTTGAATAAAAAGTTATTGTTTTTTGATAATTAGTCTTGAAATATAGATAGCGCCTAATGTACGTGAGAAATGAAAATTGGCCTCTTTTTGTGTTCACCAATTACATCGAGGCGTTTGAAAATTTTTGGTTAGTTTAATTGTATATCTTGATTGCATTTATAGTTTCATTGTTAATAAATAACCTAGTAATAGAAACAAAGCAAATTGTTATTAATTTCTCCTGAGGATTACAGTAACGTACATTCCTCCGCTGATTTTTCTGTTAAATGAAACTTAATATCTTCTTAACAAATATCTTACGCTCAGTTGGAGTGTACAAATATCTCTTCTCTTCTCCTTTCTCTTTCTTGTTTCATTTAAACGATTACAAATGCAATGTTTAAGTAAGATCCACAAAAAACTGTTTTTTAATTTTCTATGTTATAAAGAAAGGAAAGCGTAAGCAAATCAAAACTACGCCGACTCTGCTTTTCCATCGTCAACAGCCATGTTACTGGCGGTCGCCATTCCACAAAAACTATTATTAGCGCAAACGTTATTGTTAGTTTTTTCTTGGTTTAGTGATGGCCATTGGCGTTTAATAACAGCGAAATGCGTCATTTGAAATGCGTTCGTTTCCTGGCAACGTCTCTCCACGAATCCTGTTAAACAGTATCCCATGTTGTAGTCTTCCTTTGAAACATTTGAAGTCAAATACAATCTGAATTCATCGTTGACTTTGTGTGAGGCATTAAGGCGATGCTTGCTGTTCTCATGAAAGTGACCAGCTATCAGTAATGAGCCTTTTTGTTCAAGAGCTACCATTTTTGCTTTAGTAAGCTTCCGCTGTGTGCCGGCGAACTCTTCGATGCGACAACGATTTGGCTGCCACCAACTTAGCGTTATAGTCCAATAGGAAGAGGAGGCCGTGCGAGCCCAACCCTCTTCCGGATAAAGTAGAATCTGAAAAAGAATGTAAAAAGAAGTTTTAGAGTCTTTTGATTTTCTTGTTTTTCCCTACTCGTTCCCTTCCGTCAAATTGAAACATCTGACTTTATTTTCAAATATTATTTTCGAATGGTCTTCCACCGTTTTGGATGTAAAAATGATGTAAAAAAATCTGTTCAATTAGTTTGGTAGGTTTATTACTCAATTCATTTGCGAATTGGTTTGCACACTTGCATGTGTTTAGGTTTTTTTTTTATTTTCTTATCGGTGTCCATCACAGACAGATTTGTTTTATGAGATCAACGTTATGGGATTCACGTCGGTTTAACCTGAATATTTAACTTAAGTAAAAACGTATTGCAAATATATATGCCATTACAATTTTCAATTGAAAGCTATTTTTAATGGCATTTTCAGAACTTCTCTTCAGGTCATTTTTACTACTTGTCTTTTGTTCTTTATTTACTTGAAAACGATAAGAAACGAATAGCTTGTTTAAGTAAGTTAAGTAGATTAAAAATGAAAGATATGACCAGTACAATTTGATGAAGAAGGGTTTGCAAATTTAGTTCCTATTTATGAAACGTAATTAATCTGATTTCATCTTTAAGTGAACACTGGTTGTCATATTGTGTTGAATATATTCATGCATTGCTATAAAATTCAGATGTTGTTGATCAAGTTTGCAAATGAATGTATTGAAATTTAATGTACGGCAGTATATTCGCGTTTTCCTCGCTTAACACGATTAATTCGTACTGAGCTGTATCCAAACCGTGTTATACGAAACTTTTTTATTTTTTAATTTAAATTAAAATATCGCATAGAAAGTCAAAATACAAACTTAGATATAAAGTAGATCCAAATAGCGTAAGCGGTGTTGTATCAAAACATTTTTCGTGTTGTATCAACACCGTGTTATCAGACACTTTGAAATAATGTAAATCAATTCGATATGTATCATGTTTTACCGAAACGACATCTTAAGATATAAAATTTTATGATCACAAATTTGTTATGAAATTTCATTCCAAAAGCACATGTAAATGAAAAAGTAAGTTAACTTCAAGTTTTTAATCAAAAACAAAAATATGAAATACAAAGATAAAGAATACAACCAAAAATGTATTCAAAAAATAAAAATAATTATTATGGAATAAATAGAAACGGCTTGTTAGGGTCACAAAAATTAATTTTCGTGGTCACTCTCATCAACAACAAATGCAGTTAATCTGTTTTCTATTATATATATTTTATATTATATTTTTTTGTATTTTTTTGTATTATATTCAATTTTTGTGCCGTATCATATCGAATCGGTGTTACGATCAAAGTATATGTATTGAGGAAACAATGTTTTACAAGTACCGTGTTGTATGAGAGTCCTTATTGCTCTTTAGTAGAATGAACTAAACCAATGTTTAACTGTTGTGTTTACTTCACATCTTTGATATGTTTAGTGGTATTTATTTACTTGTATAATCAGTATAATCTAATGTAATCTATATAGTCTACACAAAAGTGGCTCAGTGAGCTTGGTTTAGATATCTTCCGATTCCAAATTTATTTTTATAACAATATAATGAATATGAATAAAAATCAATAATAACAAGAACATTATAGTCGGCCAAAAACCACCCCACAACTTCGCCTAGTACAGTTATTCACTCGTTTTGATAATAGCACACAACATTTAAAGACAAAGCTCTAACTTGTTATCGACACAACAGCAAGCAATGGACGTCTTAGGACGTCTTTAAAGCAGATTTCCTAAAGTTCGAAATAGAAAAACTAGAAGGAATTTACAAAAACGCGCTCCCTCATTACATATTGTATATCAAACAACGAGATTTCAATTGCCTCGAACAACTTTTGGAACTTTTGACTCTTTACAAGAAGAGTAGCGTTACCTATAATAACGGGATTCCGTTAATCAAAATTTCTTTTCATAATTCTCCGCTCACATAGTAGCACCATTTAAAGAGGGGATTATGAAAAGACAACAAAGTCTAAAGGCCGCCTGTGTTGCATACGGGTGGGTCTTGCTTTGTGTTATTTCGTAAATTTATTTTATTTTCCATTTACAGCTGGGCATTGATTTCATATTTCATTGCTCTCGACAAAACAAAGACGGTCTGGTCTCTTTCCTTTGTATTATGTATCATTATTGTTTCCTATTATTTGTTTTCAAAATAAAAAGGAAATTAGAGGGAAGTTTTACGTTGCTATATAAACCACGACAGTATTATGCAGAAATAAATAAAAACATAATTTTATGGATATTAACTAAGAGCTAATCCACTTCTATTAAACAATGCAAAATAGAAAAACAATTGTGCACATTTTGCGCTCCAACTAAATCTTTTGACGTTGATGTCTTACTACCCGCAAGTGTAAAACTTCGCCACATTTATAGTGATCAGTTCATTTATTTTGTTTTATATATATTTTTAGAAGGCCTTATGTGATCTATTCAATGGCCGAGAACGATACTTCAACTGCTGCAAGCAAAAAGCGGGAGTATGTACACATTACGAATTTTGCTTATTATTAGAATCATTATTCGTGTTGTCAGATGTTCATGTTAGACTGAAACTACAAAAAGGAGTAAAACGGGCTCTTACAACTTGAATTTGCCTATGGAGCGCGACAAAAATGATCTAGAACGCAAAAAGTAAGCATTGTAAAATGATGACAAGGAAAAAGCATTCGAAGTACAGATGTTAGAGGTGAAAATAAACAAGATGCACTTCCTTCTTCGTCAGATATCGAGTGATAATGGAAACTTCTGCCAATAACTTTGGATTTTATATATTTTTATATATATGAGAATATATATGTTTATTTCAAGATGCTGAGAAATAAAAATCTGAAAAAGTAAAATTGATGTACTAGTTTCAATTTGTTTATTTATATATTTATATTTTCTTCTTAATAGTTTTGTCTTGTTTGTTTGTAAGAAAACCGTTTGCGATTCCGTTTACAGCTCTTCTCTCTTGAGCTGAATTTATAACTCTTAACAACCACTATTAACTTTGAAAAAGCAATGCTAATGCTAAATGTAAGCTATTTAGTTTTGTCGTATTCTACGTACACAAGGAGAAAAAATTGGAAATGAAACGTATTTATTGCCATACATTGTTAGTACCTTGGGGACGATGTTCGGCGCTTATTCGCCTAATGCCATTATTTACTTATTTTGGTGGCAACCAAAAAATTATACATCATTTTTGTGTAAAAACGTTCTTTTCAACAGCCTTACTATATTCCACAATGTCTTCATTATTTTTCACCTGCTTGCGCCGTAAAAAGTTACAAATCAGAGGACTACTTTTCATGACAACCCCCGTACATGATTAAGACTAAAGAAATCATCTGTGAAATATCAATTTTCTACAATTAATGTTTATGCCAACTCGTTACCACTTTTCATCATAAAACATTAATGATAAAATATTTTTTCAAGAGGGTTTTACTGTTCATGGGAAGCTTAATATAGAATGAATTCCAAATATAGTCCCGTAAGAACTGGCTAGCTAAAATGTTAAAAAGTGGATTTTTTAGCGTATGAAAGCTTACTGGTTATGATAACCTCCTTATGGAGTGGGATGAAAAATATAGATCGACAACTTCCAAATTCGGCTAGGTTAATGTTTATGCCGAATTATTTCTACAGAACAATTTTTGCCATCATATATTACAACTTGAGCTATTTTCCTATATGGAGATTTTTCGAAAAAAGGACTGCATGAAAGGGAGGCTGAAACGCTATTATTTAACGATTTTTGTCGCGAAGCTTTAAAAATTGCAATTTTTTTTATATG